ATTTAAGGGCTATTCCAGAAAAAAATGTAGGGGGGGGGGGGGGGGGAGGGGAAGGCACTTTATATTAATAATACATGGATGATGGGTATTAGAGCTACTTTTCACACTTTAATGCACTATGATTCTCAATTACAATTGTCTGGGTGGCAGGTGCTGAAACAAACTGCCTTCCAACCCCCCAACCCCCATACATTTTTTTCTGAAATAGCCCTAATATAAAAATAAGGAGATGTGGTAATATTGTCAATGAGACTACTATCCTCCAAATATTAAAATGTGAATGTAAGCATGTTTGGTTAATAACCTTTTTTTCCTAAGAGCTTAAAGTAACTACTTATCTTTTTGTGAGCAGACCTAGCAGTTTAAATTTTTTTTTGTAGGACTTGCTGAGCAATTCAAATATTCCAAATTCAACTGTTGAGGTGGAGATTTTTTTTGAGAATACCATATACAGTGGTGGTTTTTGCTTCTGTAGTGATTTGTAGGCAATCCCAATCTTTCTCTTTCAATGATCATGTGGTGTGCGCGTGTCAAATGTCACTTACCAGATTGTGAATTAGAGAAGTGAACAGAATTCAGGATTTCATTTTCTTTTTTTAACCTGCTCATTCTTCTGTACATGTAGACTCCTACAAACAATACTATCAACAGAAACAAAACAATCATTACTGTCACTATGGCAACAGCTGGATCTGATTCTTGAGGGGCCGTCTCAGAAGGTGAAATGATATGTCCTACTGCATCTCGTCCTGAAAGAAGAAAAAGTCTCATTATTTGAAGTTGGGTTGCTGTCTCATTGACATAAATTCTTACATCTTTTATATATACATATATCAGTTTTTCAAATATTTTGTGTAATGTTTTACCCTGAAAAAAACAGACTGGTTTACTAAGTACAGAATGTTGTCTTCTGCCATCTTGGATTGTCAAATAGCAAAACACAATACCTTTAGATTTTCAATCAAGTCAACAAATTTAAATGCAGGAATGCAATCCACTAATGTAAAAATAAGAAGATGTGGTACGATTGCCAATGAGACAACTCTACACCAGAGACCAAATGACAGAGAACTTTACAAATATAGGTCACTGTACGGCCTTCAATAATGATTCAATAATGAACAAATTTATGTGGTATATCTATATCTTATAATAACTAATATGTTTGTTTGATTTCAATTATTCAACTTGGGGTACTAAGACAAATGTAAGAGGAGGTAACTCAGAAATTGTATAATTCATAAAGGAATCTACAGGAATATTTTCTATTTCATGTTATAGCAGGAACGAAAGCCCCAGTTTTTTAATTTGATATTCTAAAAATATTTTTTAAAGAACTATCTTCTCATATATTTTTTCAGAATTTGAACTTTTAGATTGTAGATTATCGTTGATCATCTCACCGAGATTGATTTTCTCGCTTGAGCCGGTACGGCGAAAGTGAGAAAAGCAATGGAGTTGAGATGACCAATGATAATCGGTTTATCGCTATTTTACCTATGCCAACGTTGTCAATGAAATTGACAACGCCACATGCCCCTTTAGTTTCTAGCGATAATTTTTCATACCACTCTACTATGCTGAGAAAGGAAATTATCAGTCAGTAAGATCAAAGGAAAATTTCGTAAAATAGCAATAATACCTTCTATTCACCTAATTATAATGATGCCTTTCTCTAACAATCCTTTCCATCATTTTTTCATAATAAGCCCGGTAACTTATCTGTTTTATCATATTTTTGAACATATCTCAATACATATTACTTTTGGCAAAATATGAAAAGATTCTATCGTTTTCATTTATACTCCCTTAAAGGTCTAGGATAAATTACTTTCCTTGAAATGTCAGTTAATTTCAGATGACAGTTCTTCTCTGTACTCTTAATTGACATAGCATTGTAGATTAGGGTTACATTCCTAATCTTCTGTTTACACATACCTATACATCCATACACTGGATTGCACTCCTGTTTTTCTGTACACTGACATTGCTTAGCACAGTTTTCTCCATAATAATCTGTAGTGCAGGCTGTAAACACAACAAAAAACATTGATTATAGTTCATAAACTGAACAATATCACAAGAAACCAATATTTATATTCAAATTGTACAGACACCTGTCTATTGTTGATGACTGTATGTAGAGACACCTGTCTATTGTGTATGTAGAGACAACTGTCTATTGTTGATGATTGTATGTAGAGACACCCGTCTATTGTGTATGTAGAGACACCTGTCTATTGTGTATGTAGAGACACCTGTCTATTGTGTATGTAGAGACACCCATCTATTGTGTATGTAGAGACACCTGTCTATTGTGTATGTAGAGACGTCTGTCTATTGTGTATGTAGAGACAACTGTCTATTGTTGACGACAGTATGTAGAGACATCTGTCTATTGTTGACAACTGTATGTAGAGACCCCTGTATGTAGAGACACCTGTCTATTGTTGATGATGACGACTGTATGTAGAGACACCTGTCTATTGTTGAAGACTGTATGTAGAGACACATGTCTATTGTTGAGGACTGTATGTAGAGACACCTGTCTATTGTTGATGACTGTATGTAGAGACATCTGTCTATTGTTGACAACTGTATGTAGAGACACCTGTATGTAGAAACACCTGTCTATTATTTACGACTGTATGTAGAGACCCCTGTCTATTGTTGACAACTGTATGTAGAGACATCTGTCTATTGTGTATGTAGAGACAACTGTCTATTGTTGATGACTGTATGTAGAGACACCTGTCTATTGTGTATGTAGAGACAACTGTCTATTGTTGATGACTGTATGTAGAGACACCTGTCTATTGTGTATGTAGAGACAACTGTCTATTGTTGACGACTGTATGTATAGACACCTGTCTATTGTTGATGTTGACGACTGTATGAATCACTTTAGATACCTTAGGATTATTATTGTTATGGTTTGTTGTCTCATTGACATATATCCCACATATCTTTATCATTAGTTCAGATACTTTGTGCAATGTATTCCCCCCTAAAAACAGACTGGCTTACCCTTTATGGAGACTTTCAGTACTTTTCATGAATCTTCAATGTATTTTGCTTACTGGATACCTAATATCTAATATATCTGGGATACTAAGTGCAATGCAGTGCAATAAAACATATAAGTCATGTGAAAAAAAAATTAAATGGAGAATGTGACCATGGGACACAGATCAATTGCATATACCATTATAAAGGGACGTAACTCAACATCAATTAAAGTGATGCCACCCAAATTCCAAACTTGATCTGAGTTTTATAATAAAAAGGATTGTGTATAAGTTTCATAACATTTGGTTGAGGCAAACTTAAGTTAGAGAACGGAAACCATTTTGCGATGTACATATGGAAGGATGTACAGAAAGACAAGGTTAACACTGGCGAGGGGCATAAAAATAGAGATCATCTGACTTACTTTGAGACCATGTGACTTACTCTGAGATCATGTGACTTACTTTGAGAACATGTGACTCCCATGTAACCAGGTAAACATTTACAGAAGCCATCACTTGGTCGACAGTATGCTTGGTTCTCACAGTTACATGTGGTATTGCATCCTATACCATACTTGCTCTTTGGACATTCTGTTTGATGAATAAAAAGATTATAATCACCTGGTCCTCACAATGGAAAATTAATAAGTAGTTTATATTTTCATTTTTCGTTAACAAAGTTTATTATTACACAGCTGATTATTAGGTAGGAGTAGGAGGGAGTGTCATCCCGAATTCCACAAAAAATATAGTATTCTTTCTCGAAAAAAAATTATCAATTTTCCAAGTCCTGACAGGTGTAAATCCCAAATTACCAAGAAAATAACTTTATTGCTAAACGGACCTTAGCAGTTCATACATACTCTACAATTGGTGGCAGATTTTGCACAATGCTCAAGTTCAAAATAGTTCAAGCCAAATTTACTCATGCAATATAACTGCCCTGATAGTCAGCTTGTTCTCTTTTATGTCATGTGACTGGTAGATTGTTGTCGCTTTTATGTCATGTGACTGGTAGATTGTTGTCACTTTTATGTCATGGGACTGGTATAGATTGTTGTCATGTGACTGGTAGATTGTTGTCGCTTTTATATCATGTGACTGGTAGATTGTTGTCGCTTTTATGTCATGTGACTGGTAGATTGTTGTCACATGACTGGTAGATTGTTGGCAACAACATTCATTTGGTTCAATCTTATCAGGGGTTTTACACTTAAAACTATAGGTGAGAAACAAATTCCCCTTTTGCCATGTTCGTTAATTGACAATATTCATCCACTCTCTCAAGTCAAATGTCTAATACTGAAGTATCTTGAACAAAGAAATGTTATAAACCATATCAAGAATATTGAGTACAATGGGAACATAGATGGAAACAAAGTAAGTGTTGAAAATGCTATAGGGTTTATTGTTTCTTCTAGATCTTATGTCTTATGCACAATTTATCAAATGCCTAAAACATGAACACAAGTTTGTAATTGTGTCAACTTGATTTCTTTACTCCAGTCATGTTTTACATACCAATGTGTGCCATGAATCCTGCACTTTGGATATAATCCCTGGGGATTTATGGTCAAAAATTTCCTGACCACTGAAATTTGTGACATACTTTGCTCTCTTTGACTGCTAATTATCCAAATATTTCAGGCTCTTGCCATAACCAATCTCTCTTACTCGGAATGTAACTTAGCCATTGTAGATCGACTTAATCATATTGGTTAAACTTCTTGAAATAATACGAAAAACCATGTCAATATTTTGCAATAGGAAATTTTGTATGAAACGAAATTATTAGTGCGATTACCGGTAACAGTAACAAACAAAATCCAGAAATTGTCAATTTTTTTAAATAAAAAAAATCCAGCAGGGATGATTTTAGCATTATTGGTGTACGGTGTACAGGCGGGGATGAAAATCTACCAATGGATTTTAATTGGCCTAACAAACTGCCATTTCTAAACAAGAAATTGGATCTTGAAAATTAATTACCAGCTTGACAGAAATCTCCTCTGAAGCCAGGTAAACAGATGCACCTTCCTAATTTATAATCACATAACCCTCCATTGTCACACTTAGGACATTTATCTAAACAGTCAATGCCTGCTGTTCCTTTAGGACAAACTGAAAGAAGAAAATGAAAGTAGTTAAATATTTGTATAACAGTCTATTACGTTGTACCTTTAGGACAACTTGAAAGTAGAAAATGAAAGTAGTTAAAACATTTGTCTAAACAGTCAATGCCTGCTGTAGCTTTAAGACAAACTGAAAGTAGAAAATGAAAGTAGTTAAAACATTTGTCTAAACAGTCAATGCCTGCTGTAGCTTTAAGACAAACTGAAAGTAGAAAATGAAAGTAGTTAAAACATTTGTCTAAACAGTCAATGCCTGCTGTAGCTTTAGGACAAAATGAAAGTAGAAAATGAAAGTAGTTAAAACATTTGTCTAAACAGTCAATGCCTGCTGTACCTTTAGGACAAACTGAAAGTAGAAAATGAAAGTAGTTAAAACATTTGTCTAAACAGTCTATTCCTGCAGTTCCTTTAAGACAAAATGAAAGAAGAAAATGAAAGTAGTTAAAACATTTGTCCAAACAGTATATGCCTGCTGTACCCTTAGGACAAAATGAAGGTATAAATGAAAGTAGCAACTATTGAAACATTTGTTGAAAGCCTATACCTGCCAAAAACCAAAGTACAGTGAGCTGTCCAGCATTTACAATTAATAGGTGGATTTCTTTCATGTGGCCACTTATTATTAGCGAAAGAACCAGCGAGCATTTTTTTCACCAATAAATAGGATAGGACATATCTCCATAATAGGATATAACTTTTGTGAAAATAATATTTCAAGCTGGATTTATTTAGATTGACACCTAGAAACGATTAATCACATTTCCAGAATATCTGGAGAGGTTGAAAAATGCATTTCCCAAAGGATGAATCTAAGGTTTTCAGGATAGTATCCAAAGTTGTTGTATGTCACTGGGTTGCTGTCTCAATGAAGTCTCCTTTTATTCACCCCATGGTTTTAATGTCATTTTATATGTGACCACTTACCCTTCTGACAGGTATGTCCAGTATAACCAGGTGGACAGGTAATAGCCAGGCACTGACCAGTGATGTGGTCACAGAACTGTCCTTCATCGCACCATGTACATTTCTGTTGACATAAGTTACCAAAGGTCCCAGCAGGACAAACTAAAACATGTTCAATGTTATTCAATTAACATGGGAGTTTTTATATAAGGATAAACATTGATGTTTCTGTCTGACCAGTAAATCTACATTTGTAACTACTTAATTACTGTTATTCATTAAATGGTGAACTTTGTTATTCTCCTTATAAGCTTTATCTTTAAATTGTTATAAAAAAACACTCTTGCAATTAACTTTTCTTTTTTTTCACATGATCTTTTCAAACTTTTCAGTGATTTAGGAAAAGTTGTATTTTCGTGGATATTTGATTTCATGGTTTATCCATGTGTACTTTGTGGAACATTTATATTCATGGTTAATCTATACCCACAAAATCATGGAAAATCAATTTACCTTTAGAACAATGTGATCCTATATAGCCAGGTCGACAATGACATTCCCCTGTCACAGGGTCATATGATCCATCACAATCACATAAACAATTTACCTTTAGAACAATGTGATCCTATATAGCCAGGTCGACAATGACATTCCCCTGTCACAGGGTCACACAATCCATCACAATCACATAAACAATTTACCTTTAGAACAATGTGATCCTATATAGCCAGGTCGACAATGACATTCCCCTGTCGCAGGTTTACATGATCCATCAATTCCACAATCACAAAACTTCTGACAATTTTCGCCCCATCTACTCTGTGGACATTTACTGTCACAATGAACTCCTACAATAGAAGAAATCTTAATTAATCAATATTTGCACAAACACATTTACTTATGTTTAAGATTAATTGATTGTTGATTGCTTAACATTGTGATTAAGAAAAGTTTTAAAATCCCACCAGCAAAGTTTATCTAAAAATGTTTATATATTTTTTTAGGCCTTTTTGGTTCTTTTACCCTAAAACATTTCATGTTTTGGGTTTCCAAACTTTTGGTCTCAAGCTTAACATATGAAGGATTTTCCACAAACCCATATTGTATGCCTGGAAATCATATAATAATATTTTTTTAAAACTGTATCAATATGGTTTTAAAAAACTTTATGTTACCAGATTGGACAAGAGTTTTCTCCTCTTTACCAAATAAGACAAGGAGTTGTCTCCCTTTTACCAGATTGGCCAAGGATTTGTCTTCCCTTTACCAGATTGGACAAGGAGGTGTCTCTCCTTTAACATGATTGGACAATGAGTTGTCTCCCCTTTAACATGATTGGATAATGAGTTGTCTCCCCTTTACCACGGGACAATGAGTTGTCTCCCCTTTAACAGATTCATTTCAGTTGTCCATACTACTTGTAAGCTTGATGCATGCAAGATTTGATACACCTTTTTATAGTGCAAGTTTTAATTGTCAGACTGCTTGGTTTGGATGTCTCGGTCTTTTACTCTATCGATCTTTTTCACAGTAAATGTTCCTCTATCAAGGTTTGCCCTCAGTATATATTACACATTGTTGTTTACAATGACTTATTAGCTTCAAGCACAAAAGCATGTGAAAAAAATTGCAAACACATTCCATAAAAATAATCAACTTTGTCTAACATTCCCACCTACCATGCCATCCAGATTTACAAACACATCGTCCAGTGCCTGCTTCACATGACAAAGAGTTCTGTTTCTCACAGGAACATTTCTGTCCGCAGACATAACCAAACATCCATTGCTAAAAATGTTAAATACATAAGTCAAAATTACATAAATGATTTCAATTGCTATTTTACTAGGAGTTACTACAGATGTAAAAAGTGAGAAGAAACTGCTTCACCTTCCAGAGCACCAAATTCCCCTACTAACTCAACTCCTTACTGCTTCACCTTCCAGAGCACCAAATCCCCCTACTAACTCTGCTTCACCTTCCAGAGCACCAAATTCCCCTACTAACTCAACTCCTTACTGCTTCAACTTCCAGAGCACCAAATCCCCCTACTAACTCTGCTTCACCTTCCAGAGCACCAAATTCCCCTACTAACTCAACTCCTTACTGCTTGACCTTCCAGAGCACCAAATTCCCCTACTAACTCTGCTTCACCTTCCAGAGCACCAAATTCCCCTACTAACTCAACTCCTAACTGCTTCACCTTCCAGAGCACCAAATCCCCCTACTAACTCTGCTTCACCTTCCAGAGCACCAAATTCCCCTACTAACTCTGCTTCACCTTCCAGAGCACCAAATTCCCCTACTAACTCTGCTTCACCTTCCAGAGCACCAAATCCCCCTACTAACTCAACTCCTTACTGCTTCACCTTCCAGAGCACCAAATCCCCCTACTAACTCAACTCCTTACTGCTTCACCTTCCAGAGCACCAAATCCCTCTACTAACTCAACTCCTAACTGCTTCGCCTTCTAGAGAATCTGAGTCTATTTTTTGGTGGGGTTCTGTTACTTAATGTTCATTATTTTGTATAGACGTGTAGACTGTTGTGTGTCTTTAAGTTTTTGGGGTGTTTTTTGCCTGTATTTTGTATAGATGTGTAGACTGTTGTGTGTCTTTAAGTTTTTGGGGTGTTTTTTACCTGTATTTTGTATAGATGTGTAGACTGTTGTGTGTCTTTAAGTTTTTGGGGTGTTTTTTGCCTGTATTTTGTATAGATGTGTAGACTGTTGTGTGTCTTTAAGTTTTTGGGGTGTTTTTTGCCTGTATTTTGTATGTTTCTCTTCAAAGATTTTTTTTATTTCCCCCTGTGAATCTTCTCCCCTTTAATAATTTTGTAAGATCAGATTCTCTTATTTCTTGATCGTTTAATTTTTGAAGGTCAAACATTTTCATTTTGTCAGAACTGGAAAGTTGCAAATATTATCCATTATTTCATTATAACACTATTCTTTTCTGTAATATAAAAACCTAGCAACTTGTCCTTGGACCATGAATTGTATATGACATCTATCTCTATTACTGTGAATTCATTTATTTTCGTTAGTATCAATTTTCAAGGATTTAGGAAAACTTGCATTTTCCAGGACATTTGATTTTTTGGTTTTGCCAATCTCTGCATATATAACCACAGAAAATTTGTAATTTGTTGAGCATTTGAATATGTGGTTCACTTGTACCCACAAAACCCAAGAATAATAATGAATCCCCAGTAGTTTTCTTCACAAAATCATAGATAAAGTACTACTAGGGAATGTTTAACGGCCTTGACTAACCATGAGGGTCTAGCAAGGTCAAAGAAATACCTACAGGGCAGGTCTTTTCACAGGAATCACCATAGAAACCAGGTGGACATGTGCAGTGACCTGTTGCCGGGTAACAATATCCACCATTTTGACATTTACATTTAGACTGACAATCTTTACCATATAATCCCTTTGGACATTGGGATTCACAGGTCAAACCTTTCCAACCTAAAAACAAATTTCATTTTTACATTATGAGTGGTCAGTATTATTTACATGTCAAACTTTAAAACTTAAACTTCACATTTGAATCACAGGTAGCATGTTGCCTTGTATTCACAGAGACAAAAGCTGGAGAAAAGATATGCTTGAATATTTTTTTTCAGATTTTTGGAATCCTCTGGCTTTATCTATTTGAATGCCATAAAATAATTTTCAGCCATATTTTCAATAGCTTATATCTCTAAAACAAGCACACAGACCTATCATTTTTTTTCGCTCTTTTAGTTCCTTTATCAATCTCCTATAAATATTTACCAGTGTTATGCCAAGCTTGTTATTTCAAAACTGAGTAGCGAACATCCTTAAACATGTTAAATACAATAAACACAATAATACCTGGTGAACAAATACAAAATCCATTCTCTGGTACACACTCAGCGTTGTTCTGACAAAGACAAGTCTGTTTACATCCTAAACCAAACTTTCCCTTCGCACATTTAGTTCCACAACTGTAAAATAAACAATAATCATACATATTCTACAATTAGTAAAGTATTGATCTCTGGTACACACTCAGCGTTGTTCTGACAAAGACAAGTCTGTTTTCAGTCTGAACAAAACTTTCCATTCGCACATTAAGTTCCACAACTGTAAAATAAACCATTATCATACATATTCTACAATTAGTAAAGTATTGATCTCTGGTACACACTCAGCGTTGTTCTGACAAAGGCAAGTCTGTTTACATCCTAAACCAAACTTTCCCTTTACACATTTAGTTCCACAACCGTAAAATAAAGAATAATCATAAATATTCTACTATTAGTAAAGTAACGAAAATGTTACCTGGTTCATTAATTATCTACATTCAAATGAAAAGTAACATGAAACAGGTTTCAAGCAGACAAGGGAAGCTGCATATAATTTTTTATTTTGCCAATCATAAAGACCCGAGTCCTGTATCTGTCCTTTGATCCATTTACAGGTAATTGTGTCGTAATGATAACTTCAGATAATTGTAGGATTATTGACTTGGCCCCAAAACTCAAAGATAGAGAATCTCTAAATAAAAATGTACTAGAAAAAATATGTGAATTTACAGTATCTGATTGGACAAGGCTATCACAATCTCTATGATACATACTATATGATTGGTCAAAAATAACACAAGCTTATGATACATACAATATGATTGGCCAAAACTATCACAAACTCTATATATGATACATACTATTTGATTGGCTAAAACTATCACAAAGTCTATGATATTAATACATACTATTGCCCTGTGTAACCAGCTTGACATTGACAAACTCCAGTTTTATGGTTACAAAGTCCACCATTCTTACAGTAACAGATCTTCTGACATCCCTCACCATAGTATGGAGCTGGGCAGGTCTCATTACACAGGGGACCAGTCCATCCAGTGGAACATTTATTACACTTTCCACTCCCTGGGTCACACCTATAATACAATACATAATTTCTGGATGACATCACAACTAACTGACCAATCAGATAAACCTAATCATTTAACCTCTGTCATCAGACAAGGTGAATTTTATCAAACCCATCATGTTTTTACACTGTGTTAATACAATGTTTAAATCTACATACCTGTCAACCTATGAAAATGAAAATGCACTTTTTTTAGTTGAATTTAAGTCTTAAGGGGACATTTTTTTTTTATATTTCAATTCGACATGTTCACATGGTTAAGTATTAACTGAAAATAATTAAATACTTATATCATTTTTTCATAGCAATTTTAAGCCATTGAAGTATTAATGTGTCATTTATAGTTTAATATAAATCCACAAGCCATATGTTTCATGGTAAATTTAAGATATAAAACAACAGCACACAGCTTTATTAATAATTCAATACATTAGAAAATATCATTTAAAATTTAAAAGCATTTACATATTAAAAGTAGAGATGTAAAAAAATTATTTTCAAAATATTAATTTTTTAATTGTTCAAAGGTAGTAAAATAAAAAGTAATATTCTGATATGTATTTGCATTCAATTTGCTTTAGATTAAATCTGTTTACAAACAAAACATAAGTTTAAGGAGTATAGTGTGAAAGGTGACAAAAAAGGGGGAGTAACTCAAATTTTTTTTCAAACAACTTTGAAATACATAAATTATAAATAACCTTAAACTAAGGTAATTGGTGTTAATTAACAGTGTGTTTGACACAAAAGCTGTCAAGTGAAGCCATGCACTTAGTGGGTCACTGAATTTGACAGTTAACACATCAATTTGAACTTCCTGTACAGGAAGAATTACAAATTTGCCGGTATTTTAAATGGAAAATCATTTATGAAATCAGTCTAAAGGCTCAAGAATCAATGTGAAAATGGGTCATTTTCTGAATTCTCTGGTTATTTAATGACCCGACAGGTATTTAAAAAATTCCGCAGGATATGGGTCAGTTGACAGGTATGAACCTTTATGTATTTTGACAGAAATTATATTTTTTCATTAAGTATCATTTTTCACATACATATTTCTATTGGGAATATAAATTTTGAGTTTCATTTAGATATCTGACAAGTTTAGTTTTTTAAATATATAAAATAAATTTAGTTGTAGCAAGGTAAAAAGACTAGAGGTTAGGTAAATATCACCCAGTACAAAAGTTAAATGCCAGGGTGTTAGAAATTTTTTATAGATATATGGCTACCAGTTTCCTGTTGGTTCCTCTATCACTGAATTATTTCGTTTCCTTTTGGTTCCTGTATCACTGAATTATTTCGTTTATTGTTTTTGTTTGAAGTCCAATTTGTATGTTGAAATCATCATGGTCATTTTCAAATCTAAAATTTCTCTTTTTGCCAAAACAGTTAAAATGCAGACATTATACATAAACTCATTTTTTCCTTTAGTGAGCTATATTTTCAAAATGTATTAGATTTTTTGTATTATGTATTCAAAGCAGCCTTTTTTTCTCAAATCATTCTTTAACTTTTTTAGGCAACACTTAGTAACAGTCTTTTAATAAAGGGAGAGTACTAACTGATCTGTCTTTTGTGTTAAACACTTCTACAATAAAGAGAGGGAACTCTGCAACAAACTTGTAATAAAGGGAGAGTACTAACTGATCTGTCTTTTGTGTTAAACACTTCTACAATAAAGGGAGGAAACTCTGCAACAAACTTGCAATAAAGGGAGAGTACTAACTGATGTGTCTTTTTATCTTTAACATTTCAACAGTAACGGGAGGGAAACCTGTAACGAACTTCTAATAAAGGGAGAGAACTCGCTAATCTATTTTTTTATCTGTAACATAGTAAAAGGAGGGAACTCTGTAACACATTTATAACAAAGGGAGAGTACTCACTGATCTGTAGTTTTTCTGTTACATTTACAATCCTTCTGACACTTCTCTCCATATTTAAAAGACGGACAATCTGAAAACAGAACAAAAGTACGATAACATTTCTGTTTAGTAGTTTCTGTAAAAGTGTGACAAAAATATTAGTTGAAAGAATTGATAGATGAAGAGACATAAGGACAGACAAGGTGATATCAAAATAGCCCCTTTCCTAGAGTTGGGGTATAATATCTGCCAATAACAGTCAATATAAATAGTTTGATAGTATAGTGTTATCTACTGGTATTTGTTTTGTATCTAATATATGGATTTTTCAAAAGTGATAGAAATAATGTTTGTTTTGGTCTTCAGTGAAGATGAGACAGTAATGTTAAAAAAAAATTTAATCATGATTTCAAATTTAGTGTTTTGCATTTTCATTCACAAACAGTTCAATCAAAATGATTCTTAAAAATTGTTAATGGAATATCATTTTAGGGACAAATATCAAATTTTCGAGATGATTATTTCAAGAACATAGGCATACAATTGAAATTAAAATGCACTTTCTCTTCACCAAAATTTCAGAACACAAAACTTTTAACTTCTAAACCTAACTGCTCTCTGCTACCTTTTTAAAAATTATTTTCGAAATGATAAGAGTCAAGACAGGGCCAAAACCTGTTCAATTATAATCAGTCACATGACAGTCATGTGATACTTACTACTTTCAGTACAATCTGTCCCAGTATACCCTATATGACAGTCACATGATACTAACTAGTTTCAGTACAATCTGTCCCAGTATACCCCACATGACAGTCACATGATACTTACTACTTTCAGTACAATCTGTCCCAGTATACCCCACATGACAGTCACATGATACTTACTACTTTCAGTACAATCTGTCCCAGTATACCCCACATGACAGTCACATGACACTTACTACTTTCAGTACAGTCTGTCCCAGTATACCCCACACGACAGTCATGTGATACTTACTACTTTCAGTACAATCTGTCCCAGTATACCCCACATGACTGTCACATGATACTTACTACTTTCAGTACAATCTGTCCCAGTATACCCCACATGACTGTCACATGATACTTACTACTTTCAGTACAATCTGTCCCAGTATACCCTACAGGACAGTCACATGATACTTACTACTTTCAGTACAATCTGTCCCAGTTTACCCCACATGACTGTCACATGATACTTACTACTTTCAGTACAATCTGTCCCAGTATACCCCACATGACAGTCACATGATACTTACTACTTTCAGTACAATCTGTCCCAGTATACCCTACAGGACAGATGCATGTTCCTTTTACTGCTTCACATGTTCCTCCATTTTTACAGGAACACTTCTGAGAACAGTATGGTCCAAATGTTCCTTCAGGGCACTGAATGGTACAACTGAAAAAATATAAACAGAAATTATAATGTGTTTGTAACAATGATTTTATGGTGTCATATATTTGTGAGAGGAAAAATCTAATGATAATAAACTTGACCAAATGAATTTTCCTCTTATCTAAAAACTTAAATAACAGGCACAATTTAGCTTATGATTTAGAATCGAAATAAGCATACAAAGGATTCATTTATTTTCATTTGGTATCAATTTTTGTGATGGGAGAAAAAAATGCTTTTTTGAGGGTTTTTCAATTTTTTTTAAAACTTCACCAAGAATTTAGAATATCTTTGGACAAAAACAGGACTTAAAGCCCCTACTCATTTGGCAGTATACTACTCTGTCCTATAATATTTACCTTTCTCCTTTATACCCAGGAGCACACGTACACTACCCTGTGGTTCTATCTGTTATATTTACCTTTCTCCTTTATACCCAGGAGCACATGTACACTCCCCTGTGGTTCTATCTGTTATATTTACCTTTCTCCTTTATACCCAGGAGCACAGGTACACTGTCCCGTGATTCTATCTGTTATATTTACCTTTCTCCTTTATACCCAGGAGCACATGTACACTCCCCTGTGGTTCTATCTGTTATATTTACCTTTCTCCTTTATACCCAGGAGCACACGTACACTCCCCTGTGGTTCTATCTGTTATATTTACCTTTCTCCTTTATACCCAGGTGCACATGTACACTCCCCTGTTGTTCTATCTGTTATATTTACCTTTCTCCTTTATACCCAGGAGCACACGTACACTGTCCCGTGGTTCTATCTGTTATATTTACCTTTCTCCTTTATACCCAGGAGCACATGTACACTCCCCTGTGGTTCTATCTGTTATATTTACCTTTCTCCTCTATACCCAGGAGCACACGTACACTCCCCTGTGGTTCTATCTGTTATATTTACCTTTCTCCTTTATACCCAGGAGCACACGTACACTGTCCCGTAATTCTGTCACATGTTGCTCCATTGTAACATCTACACTGAGCTTTACAATCTCCTCCCCACATTCCTGCTGGGCATGGCTCAGAACAAATCGATCCCTAAAAATTTTCAAAAGTATTTTTCAACTTTTTTAAGGGAAAGTGCTTTAAAAAATATGAAATTTTATGAGTAACTTGTTAACAAAAATAAGGAGATTAGTATGAATGCCAAGAACACCATTATCCACTAAAAGATTGACAGAAAAAGATCTAAAGAAATACAGGTTACTGTATGGCTTTTTACAATGAGCAAATTCCGTATTGTATCATAAGCAAGCTTAAGAAAAACCCATATTGTATAGTAAGAAAGCTTAAACAAGAGCTTATTGTGATCTTTATCTCCTGCTATTTAACAATCAAAGTTTAAATCAAAATGAAATTAAACCCTCACTATCCCACTTTATTTTCAATGTTAGCAACAAATGAAACTGCGAGCTACTGCTCACTGATGATACCCCTGCCTTAAGTGGATAATTTTAATAGTATAAAAATATGTAAGTGTCCCGTAAACAGGAAGTTGTTGAGTGATGAATCTGAAAACACATCACACGGTATAGCTGACTTATATAAACCCTGAAACCAAATTTCAGAAATCCTTGAAATGTAGTTCCTGAGAAAAATGGGACAAAAATAATCAACTTGGATGTGTTGTGTAAAATGATGCAAGTGTTCGGTAAACAGGAAGTTGTTGAGTGATCAATCTGAAAACGCATCACACGGTATAGCTGACTTATATAAACCCTGAAACCAAATTTCAGAAATCCTTGTATTGTAGTTCCTGAGAAAGATGTGACGAAAAATTTTCATGGGACGGATGGACGGACTGACAGACGGATGAACAGATGGATGGATGGACGGACAGACGGACAGATGGATGGATGGACAGACAGAGGTAAAACAGTATACCCCCACTTTTTTAAAGCAGGGGTATAATAAAAGTTCTCAATGAGTTCGATATTCTTTATTCTTTAACATTATGACATAAGAGTCCATAGAAGTGAATTTTACCATCCATCTTCAATATCTTTTGACATAATGACAAATATATATATTATTCATTGTATGTAAAACATGAATATTCATGATTGTGACTAGTTACAGTCCATCTTTGACATAAGTATTGAATGTATATGGACATGAATATTCATCTTGTTCATTATTCAATGTCTGTAGGGGTTGAATATTCATAATTTTAAATACATAGGACATGAATATTCACAATTTATTCAAAGTAGGATGTGCATAGTCATTATTCATTGTTTGTATCATAAGAATATTCATAATTTTTGATCAGTACCCGGAATTAAATATTCATAATTCATTGTTTGTAGGACATGAATATTCATAATTTGGTACAAGAGGGACATGGATATTCATAATTCATTGTTTTGCAGGCTATGAATATTCATGATAGTAAATACTTACAGTCCAGCCTCTAGGACATTTACATTTACCAGCTGAATCACAGGTTGCACCATTCTGACATAAACATTGTGACTGACACTTTGACCCATGAGTACCGTCAGGACAGTTCACTTCACAACTGAAATTAATAATAAAAAAAGGTAATTGTAAACTCAAGGTCAACTTTATAGTCTTCAAGATATGATGGGTGCCTTAGCATACAATAAGTTTTTACCTACTAATATATTCCTATTTTAAACAAGAGCATTGATTGATTGGTGTTTTTTACACAACTTTCAGCACTATTGTACTATTTAGTGATGGTCAGTTTTTATTGGTGGAGGAAGCAGGAGTGCGTAGAGAGAACTATCGACTGTCTGAAGAAAACCTGACAATCCTAGTCAAATAAGATTGGAGTCACATGCTGAAATCCAACTACTTAGACCATTCTGCCACCGAGGCCCCTTAAACAAGAGGAAAATTAGAAAATCATTCAATCAAAAATTTTGAAAAAAGTCTGACAATTCCCCATTTAATCCAGCGGCTCTTTTCACAAAAAAATCTTAAGAGTAAAAATACTCGTAAGTCATACACATTTCAGTATAACTTACGATCAATATTTATCGCAAGATTTTTTCGTGAAAAGAGTCGCAGGTTTAATTATAACAAAGCCTATTTGTCCTACTATACATGGTATTCACAATGATCATGATGATCCTTCAAGGCCTTAAACCCTGTTGAACAATAACAAGCCCCTTTGTCCTGTCACATGACACTTACAATGACCCTATGAACCCTGTTGAACAATAACAAGCCCCTTTGTCCTGTCACATGACACTTACAATGACCCTTTGAACCCTGTTGAACAATAACAAGCTCCATTTGTCCGATCACAGGTAGCTCCATTACGACAATGACACATTAAACGACAGTTTGGACCGTAGGTTCCTTCACTGCAGGGGGTCTGACATCTCTCTCCGGTCCATCCTGCGGCACATATACAATGTCCAGTCTGTGGGTCACATGATCCGTGTCCGTTACAGTTACATCTCAATTTACAGTTACCTCCCCATTCATTATCTCCACAACCTATTAATAAATTGTTATTAACATATCAATATTGACAAATTAAGAAGAATGACATAGATGTTAACATTGATATAAAATAGAATAGGCATGAATTTGTGAAGACAACAACATCTTGTATCCACAATAAAAATCTGAACCAATAAAAATAAATGAAACTTTTGTAAGACAAACTTAAATAGAAATAAGAGTTCCCCTACTATCAATTTGACCATCTAGCAACATGGATGTCCTCTCCAGCCAGGGTGACATTTACACTCATTAGGTGACACACACTCTCCATGTTACTATGGTTACTTACTACTAGAACATGAATGTCCTCTCCAGGCAGGGTGACATTTACACTCATTAGGTGACACACACTATCAATGTTACTATGGTTACTTACTACTAGAACATGAATGTCCTCTCCAGCCAGGGTGACATTTACACTCATTAGGTGACACACACTCTCCACGTTACTATGGTTACTTACTACTAAAACATGAATGTCCTCTCCAGGCAGGGTGACATTTACACTCATTAGGTGACACACACTATCCATGTTACTATGGTTACTTACTACTAGAACATGAATGTCCTCTCCAGCCAGGGTGACATTTACACTCATTAGGTGACACACACTCTCCACGTTACTATGGTTACTTACTACTAGAACATGAATGTCCTCTCCAGCCAGGGTGACATTTACACTAATTAGGTGACACACACTCTACATGTCACTAGAGTTACTTACTACTAGAACACGAATGTCCTCTCCAGCCAGGGTGACATTTACACTCATTAGTCGACACAAACTATCCATGTTACTATGGTTACTTACTACTAGAACATGAATGTCCTCTCCAGCCAGGGTGACATTTACACTCATTAGGTGACACACACTCTCCACGTTACTATGGTTACTTACTACTAGAACATGAATGTCCTCTCCAGCCAGGGTGACATTTACACTCATTAGGTGACACACACTCTCAATGTTACTATGGGTACTTACTACTAGAACATGAATGTCCTCTCCAGCCAGGGTGACATTTACACTCATTAGGTGACACACACTCTCAATGTTACTATGGGTACTTACTACTAGAACATGAATGTCCTCTCCAGCCAGGGTGACATTTACACTCATTAGGTGACACACACTCTCAATGTTACTATGGGTACTTACTACTAGAACATGAATGTCCTCTCCAGCCAGGGTGACATTTACACTCATTAGGTGACACACACTCTCAATGTTACTATGGGTACTTACTACTAGAACATGAATGTCCTCTCCAGCCAGGGTGACATTTACACTCATTAGGTGACACACACTCTCAATGTTACTATGGGTACTTACTACTAGAACACGAATGTCCTCTCCAGGCAGGGTGACATTTACACTCATTAGGTGACACACACTCTCAATGTTACTATGGGTACTTACTACTAGAACACGAATGTCCTCTCCAGGCAGGGTGACATTTACACTCATTAGGTGACACACACTCTCAATGATACTATGGTTACTTACTACTAGAACATGAATGTCCTCTCCAGGCAGGGTGACATTTACACTCATTAGGTGACACACACTCTCAATGTTACTATGGTTACTTACTACTAAAACATGAATGTCCTCTCCAGCCAGGGTGACATTTACACTCATTAGGTGACACACACTCTCCATGTTACTATGGTTACTTACTACTAAAACATGAATGTCCTCTCCAGCCAGGGTGACATTTACACTCATTAGGTGACACACACTCTCAATGTTACTATGGGTACTTACTACTAGAACATGAATGTCCTCTCCAGGCAGGGTGACATTTACACTCATTAGGTGACACACACTCTCAATGTTACTATGGGTACTTACTACTAGAACATGAATGTCCTCTCCAGCCAGGGTGACATTTACACTCATTAGGTGACACACACTCTCAATGTTACTATGGTTACTTACTACTAGAACATGAATGTCCTCTCCAGCCAGGGTGACATTTACACTCATTAGGTGACACACACTCTCCATGTTGACAACCACTACTGCAAACAGCTAAAAAACAAGAAGACATTTAATAGTATATTAGCCAATAAATCACTTTCATGACTTTAGAGTGAAGTCCTTCACTAAAAATTTTCCTCAATTATGAGCGCCTTAATGAGGTCATTTTACAGAAAGAGGGGAACGCCTGTATCCCTCTACTTGAAAGTTTATCGAGAGTCATTGTGATTGTTATTATGCAGGATAAACTAGAAATACCGTATATCATTTTTTTTTTGTGTCAGCTTTTTTTCGCGATTTGATGACAAAATGGGCAGGTTAAATTTCCGCTGTGTACAATTTTTTGCTGAATGGGAAAATACACGCGAAAAAAACACTGTATTGTATTGTTAAAGATGTGAAGTAAAACATAAATGTAAATGACAGACAGATAATCGATTACATACATGTATATATACGTGTACTACAAATTAAAAATTTAAAAATAAAATTGAGAATGGAAAGTTTTAATCAAGTTTGTGTTAGTATAACAGATCATTTTGAAGGGTTTTGTGTAAATATTCGTTAAAATGAGATTTATTTTAGTTTAATTTTTACACTTAATGTTCGGGTTAAGACAACAATCAATAGACGTCGGTAATTAACTTTTTTTGAATATGTAACTAACTTCTGTGAATATTGTCAAAAGATATGACATGAAGGATTAGCAAATTTAATTATTATAAAAACAGATATTTCAATTAATTAAACACACTTTTTTGATCTACCAATCAACACAAAAGACTGATTTTATATAAAAATGTAATGTCACCTTTATGGTTAAATGAGTGTACATATAAATTTAATGAAAACTCGATAATTAGCAGTTTTATCTATGAAACATTTAAAGAACAGCTGTAAATCTAGGAATAGGCGAGTCAAATTTTCGCGTTTCTGAAGGTGAAGCAAACAAAACGAAAATTAAACACACACGAAAAAAAACCTGATGTACGGTAATGTTTCTTTCGTATGTACTTTTCCCTGATGATGGCAGTGCTGATTATCAATGATAAGAACTCAATTTGCCAAATAATTTGACAATATATAGCATCATATGTTTTTCAACCGCTTGCTAAACATGGGAAGGTAAAGTGATGACGCCCCTAATCACAAAACCCAAGAAAATTTTGAAAAATTAGGTAAAAAATTCTGCATCCTGAGAAGGAATAACTGCATGAATTACAAACAAGATTCAAGAGATTTGTAAACAAAAAACCATGATATGACACCAACAAAATCTCGCGACAATCGGATGTCTATATACAATTGGGAATTTTAGAGTTGAAAATTGGGAAAAAAGAGCATATTTCTCTTTGGGATTGGGGCCCAAATTCTGACCCAAAATGAGGGTTGGAAAATCCCTAGCAGCAATATGCTATTGACAATTTTGTGGCAGGCAGTTAGTGGAGGAAGCCTGAGTGCCTTGAGAGAACCACAGACCTTGGGACAGGAAAAAACTGGCGAGGGGAGTCAACCCACCTGCCAAGTGCAGATTTTAAACACACAACCTCTGTGTTGACAGGTTAGTGAAACAGTAGTCAACTTTTTAAACTACTTGGCCATCAAGACCCCTATATATCGAATATGTGGTATGAGTGCCAATGAAACACCTCGAGATCTTCATCCAATTCACAATTTGTGGAATGACATGGGGCGAAAGGAAATAATAACTTATCTCTATTACAGAAATATAAAGTAATCTTTCTTTATGGGTGGTAAATTTATAAGTTTTAACACGTCTGCATTTGTCTTTTGTAAGTATGAACCCAGATCAACAAACAAAGGGGAAATAACTCTATCTCAATTACATCTGTAGTAATCTATCTTTATGAGTGATTATGATTTAGAACTTACGTCTGCATTTGTCTCTTTTTAGTATGTACCCTGAACAACAAACATATTCGGTGGTGTAAATCTTAGATTCTTCAGTTTTCTGTTCAGCTTTATACCGTGTTCTAAAATATACAATACATATAAATTATTTAAAGCATGTTATGGAAGAACTAAGATTTCATAGTTCACTGGTGAGCTTTTTCATATGCTCAAAAATCTAAATTCTAATATGCTTTGGAAATATAGTCATGATAGTGCCTATTCATGTTAAAATGAGCATAGAGCATTGCATGAAAGAATAATTTCTTAAACAAATCTTTTGGAATACGGAACTACGTTACTCTTTTGTCTTTTGAACTTAATACAACAGTACAGAGTTGTTGGATAAAAACATACAAAGGTTAGGAAGGTACATAAAAAAGAAGATGTGGTATGATTGCCAATGAGACAACTCTTCACAAGAGACCAAATGACACAGAAATTACGGCCTTCAACAATGAGCAAATATAAAAAAGAAGATGTGGTATGATTGCCAATGAGAAAACTCTTCACAAGAGACCAAATCACACAGAAATTACAGGCTTCAACAATGAGCAAAGCCCATAACATGTTCTGTCTGACTTGTCACATATATGCCCTGGGTACATACTTACATGCATTTATCACATCTAAATAAATCCAGTAAACTGAGACACCATGTTCTCTGACATGTCTCATATGGTGTGGCTACATATTTCATTGCAGTTTTTATTGTTCTGTAAAAGAAAATTAGTTGACATATTTAATTTGCGAGTCTTAATAAATGGATGAATTAAGAGAATTATTACCAAAATCAAGTACAAAATGTATAAGGCCAAACAAAAAAGTATGTTTTTGTTGACTGTATTCCTACTTAGCCTTATTTTTATCCCCTACCCTAAAGTTTTTTTGACTATTTTTAATTAAGCACTGTTAAAGTCACAATGTTGATCCAAAACTTTGTTTTACCTTAAGTTTCAGTATTAGCACACATTCTTTTTAGTTTGGCCTCACTGACTAATTTTTTTATCTAATGGCTTTCATGGCACACATCTTCATCATATGATGATGGTCATGTACTTTTTAACAATTGCATTAGGAAAATTTTTCCCTTTAAGAGATCGATTGAGAACTGAATGAAAGAGTGACCCTGTAAAATAATGACTTCAGAAGGTCAGTGATTATATCTAGATGCTATCTTTGCCAGCGTCATTAATGGTTTTTTGGTGCAAAACTATAAAATGGTAATAAATTACAAGATAAAATAAATAAAATTAGAATAATGTCATCCTATTGGGCTATTCCAGATATTAATCTGTACCCCACCCCCGAAAGTTATCATATTGGACTATTCCAGAAATAATCCCCACCACCCAATTCATGCTTATGGAAGACACTGGAATTTCCAGACAATTTTTTGTTCTTGAACTCTGTCCCTGGTGAAAAAAATTTGGTTAAGACAAATAGGTGGAAATCCAGATAGTTTCGCAAAATCTAAAACAATTGTCCCTGGGGTAACTTAGTTGCTTGCATAAAAAGCATCCCATACAAAGATCAAGAATCCAGTTAAGTGTTTTAAAATATGATAAAACATATGTAGTCATCGACCATAGTAAAGCTGCTGTATAGTTGTGGGGATTATTTTGTTGATAAATTTAAGTTTTGTTAGTACCCAATTCTTTTAGTAGATCAGCAATCTTGAAATGCAATGCATAGACCCAATTCTTTTCAAAGACTAGTTATACATGTAGCACCTCAGTAAGATCAGAGACGTCATAGATATACACATATATGTGTATATACGATGCAGTCCGGTAACTCTGCCCACCTAAGGCTTTGATCGTGTATATTTCTTCTTTATTATATAAAAATTGCATCAAATTTTATTTAAAATTATTCACTGAAAACTCAATGTTACGTATATTATCTCATTTCCCCCAAGATATATCTGAAATGATTTGAAAATCAGACAAATGGGTAACCTGTGTTTTTAACGGAAGTGCTGTTGTCTGGTAAGTCGGCACATGTGTAGTAAACATGTATGGAGGACCGGTTTATCATATATTAACGAACTAAAACGTAAGGAAATGATGTTTTATTAATGGACCACTAAAAAAGGAACTATAGATGAACGAAATAAAAAAAAATGCAAGTCAATATGATAAAGATATTGCTGAAAAAGAAGAATAAACCAAAAATGTAAAAAAAAATGTTTTTTATTAAGATCAGAAAATAAAGAAAAGTAAGAAATATGATTATAAAAAAAGATAAGAATGTCAATAGCATGGTCAAAAGTATTCTCCGAACTGATTTATCATTTTTACATAATTTAATTCATTGTATGCCGGTTCATATTCTGGACGCCAGTCTTTGCTCCTTTCTAACTAGTAGTCTGTTGTTATTTATGTATTATTGTCATTTTGTTTATTTTCTTTGGTTACATCTTCTGACATCAGACTCGGACTTCTCTTGAACTTAATTTTAATGTGCGTATTGTTATGCGTTTACTTTTCTACATTGGCTAGAGGTATTGGAGGAGGGTTGAGATCTCATAAACATGTTTAACCCCGCCGCATTTTTGCGCCTGTCCCAAGTCAGGAGCCTCTAGCCTTTGTTAGTCTTGTATTATTTTTAATTTTAGTTTCTTGTGTACAATTTGGAGTTTAGTATGGCGTTCATTATCACTGAACTAGTATATATATTTGTTTAGGGGCCAGCTGAAGGACGCCTCCGGGTGCGGGAATTTCTCGCTGCATTGAAGACCTGTTGGTGACCTTCTGCAGTTGTCTGTTCTATGGTCGGGTTGTTGTCTCTTTGACACATTCCCCATTTCCATTCTCAATTTTATCATAAAAAAATTGCCATCATTCAGTATTCTGAAATGCAGTTAAGACACCACCATCCTTGTCAATGGGTTTAAAGTCTGTGCAGTATATAGTGACTTAAATACAAATGTATATAACCCAAAATTTTATTTCAGAGTCAATATATTTTATTTTTATTCTTTAGAATCAAAAAGAAAAACACAAAAAACAGAAAGCTTGTTTCAAACTTTCACATACATATTTCTTAAAGATACAGGATCTTAACGATTTTTTAAAAATTTTTGTTATTTTGGCTTTCCATAGTTTTTTAAATTGAATTATCTCCCTTTGATTTAGACCTGACATAAACAAATGGTTTTCTTTAAAGCAAGGATTTGTATCTATATGATATATACTATACAAATCCTTGTTTAAAGTTAAAATAATATAGCGGACGAAAATTTTTTGGAAGAGACGCACACACAAGTAAAGGGCGGAGTTACCGGATGATCAGAGTTACCAGACAGGCGGAATTACCGGACATGACTGTATATATATATAAATATATGTCTCTGGTGAGATATTTAGTTATGAAACAAAAACAAAACTAAAAATAATTTTAGGACTCACATTGTTTATATATATACATGATATATCTCATTGTAATATTGATTCATTTTTATTCCTGTGACTTAAGTCCAAATAATGATGATGTCTTGAAAGGCTATTTTAATTTTTTTGTGACACCTTCCTAGCACAAAAAATTTAAATAGCCTTTCAAGACGTCATAATTATTTGGACTATTCCTGCTATGTAAGAAGGCGTTAAAGTTCATCATAACAAATGGACAAAAATGGCTGTATTAACACATCAAAAACTAGTCCAAATAATTATGACGTCTTGCAAGGCTATTTTATTTTTTTTCTGTGACGCCTTCCTACGACTACGACGTCGTAGAAAGGTGTCACAGAAAGAAAAAAAAATAGCCTTGCAAGACTCATAATTATTTGGACTAATCAAAAACTACTCGGAGTAAATTATGACTAGCCTGTCCAGTTGGAAAAGTTTTAAGGCCAGGCATCCACTAGACAGATAAAAGTTAAATGCATTTTGTGCTTCAGAATGATGATATCTTTTTTGGATTTTGATGGGCATTTTTTTCCGTTCCTGCAGAAGGTCCATTTGTTATGTGGATATATGTCTCTGTTATGATGAACCTTAATGAAAAATAGCCTACCAAAACGTAATAATTATTTAAACTACAAACGCAGGACGTTGAAATCTTATGATCTCTTATCAATCATGCCAGGAACCGAGAAGAGTTTAAAAGTCCTGTGCTACAAACCATCACGAAACTTTTTATATTCTTTAAAGGGGAACTAATTCAGATTTCCCGCCAAAAATATAAATATAAGAAAATAATCGGAGTCGGACAATTTTCCGGAAAATTTCGGCCTACATTTTTAGAGAGGAGAGGGTGGACAGGGGGTAAATTGACAGTTGGGGTAGAGAAGTGGGGTTGAGGGACCACCTAGAAAGAGATCAAATCAAATATCAACATACAGACATTATACATGTAATAATGTAAAACAATAGCAGACATGTTGTAAACAAATCTTAAAGGGGCACTAGCTGTCAAATTCATGATCACCGATTTGACTCAAATTCTCATATTAGATTCATAACAATGTAAAACATTTATCCAAATTATAAATAGTCTAAAATAAACAATTTACAGGGCATGGGCTCGATAATATGTAGCTTCGTTTCGTGTGTTTTAGTCTAGACGCCATCTAATTAACTATCGAGATGACCCCGAAAACAACCGACGGTCACATAACACGATATAAACATAAACATAAATATAAATATATATATATATATATATATATATATATATATATGGGTCTCGTGCAAATGGATTTTTCTATGTCTGTTTGATTTCAGTTTTAAGGTTAAAAAAATAAGTTGATTTTCGATTTTACCTATATAAGAATGATTTTTTGTGGGTCGAATCAGTCAATCAAATGATTTACCTTTGTTTCTCTTTCAATGTTGACATTCTTTTCTTTTAATAGCCTAACACGCATCAATCATGCATACTCCATAGCTACGGGGTTAACTTATTGAAGTTCACGTGAATACGGATTCAATGAGGTCGAATTATTCACTTGCAAGTGAATAATTCATCATCGATGTTTCTTAGCTCATTTTGACAAAATTGAACCATACTTGCTGCTAATAGCGAATTATTGTTTCATTATTTCACTTTCATTAGTGATCGAACAAAAAAAATCATAATTGAATTTTTTTATGTATCTCGTAGCTAGTGCACCTTAAAAATAATAGTCAGGGATGCACACCATAATGGCATTATGGTTTATTTTCAATGGCGGTCATTTATATGTCATGACGTATGTTTATTATCGTAATGTGGTTATACCAGCAAAAACTTTTAAAAAGACGTCTAAACTGCCATGTATTGATTACTAGATAAAGTCATAAGTTATACGACGTAATTAATATATAATGATACCGTATTACGGTAATTTGAGATACTACGATATATAAGTCAACAGCGGTACATGACGTATTCTAATGCAACATGATTGGATAACGTCAACAACTTCCATGGCATCAATTCGCCGTCGATTTGACGTTGGTTTCTGTCCATTTCATTAGAATGGCGATAAAAACATTGTATTTAATCTCCGACGGCATCAATTGGTGATTTGATGGTCGCAAGTTAAGTTTACTGGCCCAGTGGCGGCGCTAATTCTTCTGTCCGTGATATTCGACACATTCTTAACAGTATCAAAAAATATTTATTAGAAATCATGGCTTTACGTGAAAATTTGAGAATCTTAAGGACTACATTTTTAATGGCACTATAGTATTTAAGTATTCGTATCCCAAAATGAAAATAACGTCACGACATTGTTTGAATTTCTAATTTTAAGGACATTTTAAACTAATCACAACAATTTGGTGTACACTTTTGAAAATATTACTATTAGATTCTGAAACGGCGAATAGATGACGACATTCTCTAGACAAGAATTAAAAAAAAAGTATAAAGAGTCGTTGCTTTTTACTTGACTGGAAGAAAATCTTTAACACGAGAGCTTATATTTTTACTGTATCGTATCGTTATGCGTTATATATACCGACTTTGAATATAAAATTGTATTTGATTTAAATTAACCAGATTGTTTATATTCAAAATTGTTCATCTGGGTATTAATCATCTATGAATGCTTGGCAAAGTCATTGATGTCTGGTGGGTATTTAAATTAACCCCAGTATGTATCTAAAAGTTAACAGCAAAGAACTACTCCATAAGTTCTTGCTTAATTCAGACGCTATTTCTTGATAAAGAAGAAACTAAATGCTACCCATAGTTCATAAACGATCGGTGCAATTTGACAACACAATCGATCCCCCCACCCCACCCCCCCCCCCCCCCCCCCCCCCCCCAAAAAAAAAAAGGAATTCCACTGATTATAAACTTGATTTTACTTCTTTTACTTGCTTTTACCTGACCGAGTAACGGAAAATATCCTACCACAGGTTACTAGTCAAAAAATTATATACTTCGAAGTCAAAAGTCGGTTATATGTGAAAATAGCTTATTAACATTGTTTGCTGTTTTAGTAGCTGGTACTTACGCAACATTTTTCTCACAGACGTTGGCTCCTCCTTTAGTTAATCCATGGACACTGCATATCAGACAGAATAATCCAAGAGAAATTGTTGTCAGATACATTGTCATGCTGTGCTGGAGATAACAAAAAAATAGTAAAAATTAAAATCACAAAAATACTGAATTCCGAGGAAAATTCAAAAAGGAAAGTCCCTAATCAAATGGCAAAATCAAAAGCTTAAACACATCAAGCGAATGGATAACAACTGTCATATTTCTGACTTGGGCCAGGCATTCTCTTATGTAGAAAATGGTGGATTAAACCTGGTTTTAAAGCTAGCTAAATCTCTTACTTGTATGACAGTCGCATCAAATTCCATTATATTGACAACGATGTGTGAACAAAACAAACAGACATAAATGGTAAAAATATCAAAAATAGGGGTACAGCAGTCAACATTGTGTTATAATATTAATCACTATAAAATGTAGTTTACAGTTCATGTGAATTTTATAATTTCCTCCCGTTTATGGTGAGAGTGAATGGTCGAATATTTTAGATGGTTCCATGCAGGCGTATTTGTGTTAGTGATGGGCGCTTCTGATAATTATGAGCTAGAGAACCTTATTTTGACACAAAATCTAGGGGTATTTTATCTTTATTACATTATTTAGGGGAGGGGAGGGGCGACACCGTTTGCGCCTCGTTTGAATAACGTCTGTCCTGTTGGAACCCTTTAAAATCATTAATGGACACGTTATTTTGTTAGACTCGATAATAGAATACTGTGGAAAAATATAAAAAGATACTGATATCTTAAATTACTAGATATAAAAAGATGTGGTATGAGTGCTAATGAGAAAACTCTCCATCCAAGTCACAACTTGTAAAAGTAAACTATTATAGGTCAAAGTACGGCCTTCAACACGGAGCCTTGGCAAGAAATAGCGTCTGAACCCTTTAAAATGGACATGTCATTTCGTAAGACTTGAATATATAATATAAAATACTGTGGGAAAATATAAAAAGCTTCTGATATCTTAACTAACTGGTATGTTAAATCATAGTTGACACAATTTGGATGAGCAAAATCCATGACTGCTGTAACTGTATTAAGGTGATGGTGTTCGTATCATAATGATTCAGTGGCGGATCCAAGGGGGGGGGGGGGGGGGGGGAAGGGGGGGGGGGTCCGCGGGTTGGAATCCCCCTTTTTTGGTCGAGCAATGCATTTGAATGGGGACATATAGTTAGTTGGAACCCCCTTTTTAAAATGGCTAGATCCGCCCCTGTGCTTCGTGTTTTATAATTACCGTTCAGAAGTCAGGATAACATTGTAAAATAATGCGAGTAGTTTATTACTTGACTAACGAAATATTGCCGTAGCCCTCAAGCGAATTATGTTTATTTTGATATTTCATGTCATTCCCAATATATTGACCTAGGACGTTGATTAAATGTAATTTTATGATTCTTTTCAAAGTAATCATAAGTGACTCCCAGTTGTGGATCCAGAAATTTTCATAAAAGGGGGGGAGCACGGACTGCCTACGAGAGGGTCCCGCTCCAGTCATGCCTCAGTGATTCCCTATATAATCAACCATATTTTCCCACAAAAAAGGGGGCGTCACTCAGTCCCCTAAATCTGCCTCTGACTCCTTTATTTCAAGTAAATTTTCTTATATGCATATACTATGATTCAGATTAAATCATGCATGTTTATGCGCAAGTACAACTTATTTAACTCAAGCACTTTCTGTGTGTGTAACGCATGTTGGTCTATCTTAAGCATGTGTTGTCGGTTATTGTGTGTTGTTGGTTGTTGTGTGCTGTTGGTTGTTGTGTCTTTAGAATTGAGAATGGAAATGGGGAATGTGTCAAAGAGACAACAACCCGACCAAAGTGCAGAAAACAAGACTAACAACTGAGTTTTTTGTTGTAATAGAATAGACAAATTCTACTTTGGCCAATCCTGATCCTGCCAACTTTTTAAAATCTACATGGCGGATTTAAGAACTGACAAGAAAACCTAATGCTCCTAGCTCTTATATTGATATAAGTGTTCTTAAGGTGGTACCCAACACCTTGACTAATATTAATTTGGCTCGTTTAATTTTCCTAAAATTTTCACAAAATTTTTACTTTGACCCTTTGACAAAAATATAAAATTTCAAATAATTTGAACCAACCACTTTATCAGAAAAATTTCACTGGTTATATAGCAGTTTGACAAACACTAATTTTGATCATTAAGAAGCTTAATATTTCCTTAACAATACAACGTAATTAAAACGTTTAGCTGATTTTTACAGAGTTATCTCCCTTAATCTACTACTATACTGTTTGAATGGTTACTTGTGCGCCGAAAAACCCTTTTAACTCATTTGAATGCCTGTATTTAAGTGTTCAGGTAATATAATAAAGAATTTCAAAATTCAGGTCAACACCTCTCAAATAAATCGGGAGTTGGCAGGTCTGGAAATGTATGTTATAAAACATGTCAGTACCGAATCGTTTTCATTTAATGCATTTCCTCCAGAGTTTTATCGTCCATGAAATATTAGCCACTGGACGTCATAAACAACAATCGATCAATCAATTCAGAGTTTCGTTATATTTTTTCTATTTTAATCTGTATCATATGTATCTACAATCTACAATTTATATATATATAGTTTTATCCTGATATACAACATGTATTGCTATAAAACGATTT